TTTTATGGATTCATCCCCAACATTGTAAATGACCTAAAGTTTCTCAAATCTATTGGCTATTACAAGTCCCTACTCCGTGCATACTTAGAACTTTTGAATTTCATAGTAAGCCTACTTGTAAACAGATTCGACAATGCTAATATAAGACTAGGCAACACTGATAAAATTTCTTGTTCTAACAAGATCTCCATGATCATGCTTTAATTTGGAAAAGTCTGGAGACTAGACCAATGTTAGGGAAATTTGGAATTCGAGAACAAATAGTGTGGTACTTATGTTTTGGACAAACACACAGAAAAACATCCTCTGAGAATGCATGTTTATATAATTTAAAATTATCTTATTAACTATATTTATTTAACATTGGAAGTAAAGCCATTATGTTATAGGAAGTATTAAGATACAGCTGTGTAGCTTTTATGTTTTCATTGAAATTATTTGCCTGGTTCTCATGTAGGTGGCACTTTACAGAAATCTTTAAATGACTCATATAAAGCGTGTATGTGTCAAAGAATGAAAAAAGGGGGCAATGCAAAAGTTCGTATTATGTGAGGTAAAAAAAATGGTTACACTATTAGAATATTTTATGAATTTACCTAAGTATATTAAATCATTGTTATGGGACGATCCGAACATATGCTTGTCATATTCAATGAGATTTTCGTTTAGAAAACCTTGTTTCTATGAGATAACAAAATCAGCTATCTAAAGACGGTGAAACGCCACTTTTAGAATTGATTGAGTTAGTACTTGAACCGGATATGGATATAAATGAATATTAATGTGATCATAAATTAATGTTCTTCCCCTCTTTCTTCATAAACACTTGCCATGCGCGTCAGCATTATGGTGTAGTGCACTTTCAATGGAAATCAATTTTAATGATTTGTCGCTGTTGTTTTTGACTTGTTTTATGTTATAAGCGTGTGAAATTGGATAGTATTAGTAGTGTAAAGAGGGACTACAGAACTAGAAAGATGAGTTACGCTACTAATGGGTCACCTTTGGTAGGTCTGTGTCCTCCAACGTCGTATTACTGATGAAGCAGTGCAACAATAACAAACACTAGAGGGACTACAGAACAAGAAAGATGAGTTACGCTACTAATGGGTCACCTTTGGTAGGTCTGTGTCCTCCAATGTCGTATTACTGATGAAGCGGTTCAACAATAACAAACACTGGAGGAACTACAGAACAAGAAAGATGAGAGGGGCTACAGAACAAGAAAGATGAGTTACGCTACTAGTGTGTCACCTTTGGTAGGCCTGTGTCCTCCAATGTCGTATTACTGATGAAGCAGTTCAACAATAACAAACACTGAAGAGATTACAGAACAAGAAAGATGAGCTACGCTACTAGTGTGTCACCTTTGGTAGGCCTGTGTCCTCCAACGTCGTATTACTGATGAAGCAGTGCAACAATAACAAACACTCCAGTGTTTGTTATTGTTGCACTGCTTCATCAGTAATATGACATTGGAGGACACAGGCCTACCAAAGGTGACCCATTAGTAGCGTAACTCATCTTTCTTGTTCTGTAGTCCCTCTAGTGTTTGTTATTGTTGCACTGCTTCATCAGTAATACGATGTTGGAGGACACAGGTCTACCAAAGGTGACCCATTAGTAGCGTAACTCATCTTTCTTGTTCTGTAGCCCCTCCAGTGTTTGTTTTTGTTGAACTGCTTCATCAGTAATACGATATTGGAGAACACAGACCTACCAAAGGTGACACACTAGTAGCGTAACTCATCTTTCTTGTTCTGTAGCCCCCTCCAGTGTTTGTTATTGTTGAAATGCTTCATCAGTAGTACGACATTGGAGAACACAGACCTACCAAAGGTGACGCATGTATTGATTTGGTCTTATCTGTATACAAGAAAAAAATAATGGTACTGGAGGCCTGATTACTAAAAAAAGTGATATAATGAAATATTCACAACTTCATTACAGTTCCAGATAACAATAACATAAAAGACTAATTAAGTTCAGATTTTGGTTGCTTTGTACCATTTGTATGTCTGTTTCTTTCAAATGTGTTCAGTCTTCATGTACGTTTTTTCTGTTGTACTTTCATATGTGTCCAACCTTGCTATAGCCCTAGTTATGGAATATTCCTTTTTTACGAAATTTCCACTACTGGAAATCAATTTATATGTTATTGTATTGCAATACAGTGAGGTCAACACTGTCCTTCCCTCTGTGTACATACTATCCAAAATTCATCAACCATGCATGGACGACAACTTTTGAGAGCTCGTTTGAGTAATGTAAAGGCACAAAGTCCACGAGAAACGTTTGTGAATGGTATAGCATAAATTCCTACTTGCATTTTCGTCTTGAGTAGAAACTGGGATGGTTACTTGGAAATGTGACTGGATGCTTTGGATAATGATAACTTGTCCAGACACTTAACTAGACTTACGTTCGTCTAACTGATCATATATTTCAATTTGCCACATTTTGGCTAATGTTATCAGAGCTTTCGAAAGTTGGTCTACTGTTCCGCTGTGTGCTTAAGGATAAGAAGAGTGTGTGTCGCGTTTAAACATATATTTATATTAATTACGTTTCTTACAGATCGAATACAAGCTTCTACTTCAGTTGTAAAGGATGACTCTGTTCTTGTATTATTACTAGTATCAAGCTATTTAACTTTCTTCTCTACCTCCAGTGTGCAACTGATGGCCGGTCGAGAATAACCAATTTTTTCTTGCTGGATTTACGTCTTTCCTTGCTACACCAGTACGATATAACACTACAGGTATTCCCTTTTCTTAAACACTGAAATTGTTTGTCTTACATGTTTTTATAATCGCGGAATACAAGAACTTCTCGTCGGAAAGTCTTCCAATGTCACCTTCCCAGAAGGGGTCAATTTTAGGTGCCATCTGCACTTGCAAGTCACATCAAAAGGGTCAGGAATGTTAACTTGTGTAGCCACAGGTCATGGATATGGCAAGGGGCGTGATGGATCGCTATGGAAATTGTTAATCATGATAACAGATAATTTTTCACGACTGTACTTTGATGAACTTGAACAAATCGTTTGTCTTCGAAAGAATAATGATCACCATGAAAGCACTGAAAACTGTTTTATTTATATATATATATATATATCCAAAAATAGATACATAAATGTTCATATAGTAATTGACGATAAGTCCGATTATTCTTGTGATACATTAGTCATAATAGTGTTGTTGTGATAGATAAAAACTGCTACTTTCAAAATTTTACACTCAACTCATAACTCTTCCAATACATAACTCTGGCCACACATAATCTTGTCTTCCGAGAAATTCCTTCGGCAGAGAGTTATTCTCGTAGTTGTTACTGGAGGCATGTGGTGAATTAGTTTCTTCTCATTGCTAAGACCTCCCACGTGAGCGCAAGCCGTCCAACGTCCACGTGCGTCTCTTGATCATGAGGACTTCTAATGTTTTTGACACGGGTTTTCATTTCAGTCACAATATTATAGAACTGAATGTGACTGTGTCTCTTCCTGTTAGCAGAAGTGTTAGTGTAGAATTACTCGTCCCCCTCTCACAACCTTGCAATGTACCGTGACGCCCCATATACGTGTAAGGAAGTTTACCCTTGTAAACACAAACAACCCTCCTTGCCAGCCACCTTTATGCTGATACAAAGCTACTTGGCTGCGATTTGTTTTAATATTTCTGACAACATAGATATTTATCATAACATTCTCTCCCTGAAGTATCTTAATCATTTATATCCTTCTGAAAATATGCAAGAAAGTGTCATATTTAGTTGTTGCTACAAAAAATAGAAAAGTTACAAAACAACTTAATATTTCACTTTATGAGGCGTTGCGTTACAGGGTAGTCCGGGTACAAAAAAATGCTACTAATAAGAAGCACAGTTTTAAAAAAAGATGACAATATCAAAGGTAGAATATTAGTTATGTGATAACCTTGTCAGACAACTAGAGCTCTTTGTAACAAGTTTTGTCGGTGCAATTTAAAGATTAATATTTGATAAGTGTAGACAAATAAAAACTTTACTGTTTATTTGTTGAAAGTTAAGCACAAAGCTACACTGTATCTGCGCTCTGCCCCTCCACGGGTATCGAAACCCCGTTTCTAGCGTTGTAAGTCTGCAAACATAACGCTGTGTCACTGAGGAGGGGAGGCAAAACTTTATTAAAGATAAATGAAGCGTACTTAAGTGCAACATCACCAACGTAGATGCAAATATTATAAAATACAAGAACACTTTGGAGTCGAACTTTCAAATTATTGCCAATACAAGTTTCTTAAAAAAAAAAACAACAAAAAAGTTAACACTAATGCCCAATTCGAAATATGTAAATGCAGTGTTATGCAGGTCTCATATTTTAAAAATAACGTAAATAATTACTCACAAGAATGTATAGGACTAAACCCAAAAAGAGAATCGCGACTGGAAAAAGAAAGAGAAAGCTTCTGAAACTTACTGAACAGAGAAACTGGGCAACATAGTTTTCATAACAAAATATACTTTGTTTTTATTGCCCCAAGATAAACTGAAATTCGAATCGTATTATCTTCAGCTGGAGATGATATAATGGTAAGTTTTCTAAGCTTGTTTTGTGTGATCATGTAAATTTTTTTCTCCCTTTAATACTTTAGAATACAAAATGTCAGCCTTTGTCTACCAGTTATCTAAGCTGTTTCAGTAGCTATTTCACCTAAATAATTAAACTTCTCTTGACTGTCAATTTTCTCTGGAAACAAAGGGATGTAAACTATAAATCTTATAGTTTCATTTCCCTGGAGTAATATAATACTGAGTAATATAAAATCTTCATTATTTTGTTATACATAATATGCACTTTCAGTGATTTTTTTAAGGATATTTACTCAAGTTCCACTATTCGGTCAGACCCAAAGAGTTGACGGTGGGTGCTATTTATTAGCTGCCTTCCCTTTAGTCTATCACTTTAAAGTTATAGATGGTCATGTTCAGACTGCCATTTATAGAACCCTTACGATACGTACCTTTCCATTTCTGTAATACGGGACGAATCCCGAAAACCTTTAGCGAAGGGGTTGCTGTCGATTTTCAACTTTGTGATCTAGAAGAAAATGAAACACGCTTGTCTAGAAAATATATGCAGATATATGTTTTCAAATTCAAATTCTATACTTTTTCTAATTACGACAATGTCACGTACACTGAACTACATACAATAATAACTTCGTTGTTGGATATTTTAGAGCCAAGCCACATTTGGGCTGGCTATCTGTTGGGTCCATCTCGGGGAATCGAACCCCGGATTTTAGCGTTGTAAGTCCATAAGCTTACCGCTGTCCCACCGGGGACGTTTTGGAGAATACAGGTGGGGGAAATAGTAAACTTTGAAGGAAAATATTGATTTTTTTTAAAAAGGATTTGATGCTTAAACCACAAAACAAGAAATTTGTTAACTTGGGTGGTTAGCTTAAAAGTCTGCCCCCTGAAAACAACCAGGTTATCAAATTTCTTGTTTTCGTGGATTTGTTAGTCACATCATATTATCGTTTACGGGTTTTTCTAATTGGTACCAATAATGATCAAAAGTCCCCTTTTATTCCATTTTTTTTTACATACATCAACAGCGAGCTTACTTTTCGCGTTGAAATAAGCACTATCATAAAACTGGAACCTCTACAACGTTCAGATTTTGCGGTATACAATCTAACTGTATAAGAAAACCATGGTAAGAAACTCCAGCTAAATTAAGCCATTTTTGGGAGACACTTTCCTAATTCTTTATTCTAATCCTACTCCAAAAAAAAAAAACTTTAACAATGACTATTTAACTATTTTTAAAAATATCTGTTATCAGCGTAAATTTACCGATTTAATTTAGAAAACTAAAATGATCTATATGAAATAAAGTATTAATGATGTTATAATTATGCGTGTCAGTGTTACATTACGAATTAAAATATGTTCTAACTCATGCTTTAAAACTTTACATTCTACGGATACATTGGTTTGCTTCAAATCTCTATTACGTCTCATACTTACGAGCTGATTTTGGTAGGCCGTTACTGCTATAAAGACTGTTTCGGGAAAGACAAACGTTCGGAATTCTTCGGTTTCTAAGTCATTTATTGGTGTCGTCGCAGACAAATCATTCCTCTGCACGAGATGTATCCTTGGCTGGTATTTGTGCATCGAATTCAGAACAATCTGAAGAAATTATATTGAAAATAACATATACAATGTTATCTGTGAAATAAATCTCGCCAATTTTTTCTTAAGCTACTGTACCGAGAAATATATTGAAATTCAACCAGAATGGTAGTTTCATTCGAACGGAGTAGTACGTAAACCAGAAGAACGTAAAGTTGTACACGTCTAGAGGTTAGAATGAATTAACATTATCAAAAACAAGTCAGGACAGTCACCATAGTAACATCGTTTATTGTTAAGTATCACGAAATTCAGCAGTAAATTACCTATAAACAGAGCACTCCAGTTGCCGTGACAACGTTTATAAAATGAACTGGTATATATAACAGAAAAAAAAACAAAAACTCGATGAATAATTTTAATGCGTTTGGAGATTAGTAAAAATATAGTAAGTATAAGAGACTCAAGGTCATATCTCGCACTTCCAGATACAATAACAAAATATCTTAATATTCAAAGCTGTAAAATATAGGCCTAATCTGATGGTTCAAAACAATGGATATTTACACGCTACATGGCTCACTCTAGTTCAGAAGTACTTTGATCACGAAAATAAAGAACAGCTTCAACCTAACATTGAAGGTCATCTTTAAATTTCAATTCAGGCAGCGACACTACGAGTTTGATACCAGCTTTCGTATTAGTACTCGTCACATAGTGGTACTATTGTTATTGAAACCATCATAGTTACAGTATAAGGAAGGTGAGAACGATATAGCGTGTTGAGAAGTGATATACCATGACGGACAAAGCCAATCATTTGGTATAGTAGCGATGAGCGTGACCGTTTTTTTTATCCCTTGCCGCTTTCCAAGTCACGTGATAAAGATGGTCTTGACAGTTCTCATTTCGATGTGTTTCTTGCCGAGTCCACCATGGACGAAAGCCAAAACAATAAGATAGGTCAGTTTTCTTGGCGCCATATACAAAGTAATAGCTGTCCCATCTCTCTTCATTACGTGACTGATCACGTGATGTAGCTGCACACATGGCTATTTCAATTTTCTTTCTTCCAATTTTTCTTTATTACTACACGCTAAAGTCTTATCTTATAATTTTTTTTCTCTTGTTCCCCATTTTCGCACGCTCGAGAAAACTTTCATGGAGAAATGGGAAAACACACCTTTATGTGTCCTTTTAAATAACGCAATAACAACTTTCTTATCTAGCACTAAGTGAAATCTACCATACAAAGCAAGGCTATGTGCATTTGTCCAGAACCGCCATTAGTCTTACGTGAAAAAAATAAAGCAGATAATGTTTTGTACAGAAGGGAGATTCCCCCCCCCCCGACGAAACATAGTTTTTATTTACAACAAATATTTCCCCCTCGACGAAACATAGTTTTTATTTACAACAAATATATCCCCCTCGACGAAACATAATTTTTATTTACAACAAATATTTCCCCTCGACGAAACATAGTTTTTATTTACAACAAATATTTCCCCCTCGACGAAACATAGTTTTTTTTGTTTACAATAAATGCGAGTCTATAGTTTCACAAAATCCTCAATACCTTTTAATTAATTTCAGTTTAATCGAGAAGCTCAAAACATTCATTTCTACCAAAAATAAAACAATGTGCACTGAGATTCATTGTTAGAATCGCACATCAATATGTAACAGTTCTGGTGTAGCACAGTTAGGGATATGCTTCAGGTAGAGAAAAGACAGAATGATTTAGAAAACAATTAGATAAGATTTTTCGTATTTCAAAAATTGGGTTTGAAAAAATGAACATACATTTAAGAGCTGAAAGAACCTACAGAAAAACAATTAGATAAGATTTTTCGTATTTCAAAAATTGGGTTTGAAAAAATGAACATACATTTAAGAGCTGAAAGAACCTACAGAAAACAATTAGATAAGATTTTTCGTATTTCAAAAATTGGGTTTGAAAAAATGAACATACATTTAAGAGCTGAAAGAACCTACAGAAAACAATTAGATAAGATTTTTCGTATTTCAAAAACTGGGTTTGAAAAAATGAACATACATTTAAGAGCTGAAAGAACCTACAGCTTTTATTGTTCTATTTAACACCAGTATAGAGAGTTGAATTGAGACATTGGAGTTTCTCATTTGATAGAACTTTAAATCCTACGTTTGTAAGATAGACCGCGATGCCATGAAACGGTAATCACACAGGGAGAATAATAGCTTGAGAGTGAAAAACACGCTTCTATTTGCTATCCCAGTACATATGTGTGTATATTTGTTATAAGGAGTTTATTTATGTATTTATTTTTGAGACTTTACTTAAAATCTGTTAGATAGCAAATAATTCATAAGTATACCATAGCGTTTATTTATTGCTATATTGTTATGCTATTGGTTATATTGTAATTACTTTATATTTTGGTTTATTGTTTACTATTACACTTTTATTATAAAGATTGTTTTGCACTGTTAGCTTAGATTTTGTATTTAAGACTAACCTAAATCTCCTAAGCTGTGCCATCCTTGTGAGATATTATTAGGATTACAGCCGAAAATATCGTTAGCAGTGAGGGTACCCTGAAACCCATTCTAATCTTTATAAGTAGGAGCGTAAGAAACATATGCTTAATTTGCTATACTGATAGCCAGACTGATTCTTACTTTCTCTCTAAGTATGTAGCTTAGTCTGATCAGACGTTATCATTGCTGTTTATAGGCTTTTTTGTCTTTTCTAATTAAAGATGGACTTAAATCAAATTTCCTTTAATACTTACGTGCCCCTGTTTGTACATGTCATTGTTGGTCAGTTTAACCTTTTCGAATGAGATCATTTGTTTCTTCAGTTGGTCCTCGGTGAAAGGGGAGTCTGGGTGGAGGTAGATACGTGCTTGGGAAGGAGGATCGGCTTTTCCGGCAACTAGCCACGAGGACCGGTGGTAAGCATAGCGGTATCTCTTGTTGTCTACCGGAACAATGTCAAGCAACACGAAGTATTTCTTATTTGGGTTGAGATCGGTAAAAGAAACCCTAACGGTAGGGAACATTCGTCTGGAACAGAGCAAATAGACAGACACTAATTACTAAAGTATTATTTAGGGGAAGAAATTATAAAAATTAACACTAAGCTAAGCGAAATTCACGAGTAAAAACCAAATGAATTACATTTGAAGCTTATTTGGGATTCCTTATGAACTATGTATCTTCATGTGGCTAGTGAAGGAGCCAGGATATTTACCATTTCGAATTACTAATTTGATACAGCATTAGTGTTAAATGCTGACTGCTAACATGTTAAAAACACACATTGATTAAAATTATTTGTTTAATAGCTCTCTAAATATACATTATATGAACCATTAAGTATACTTTGTTCTATATGAGTTGCATAAAAGCTTTCTCATTATATTTTATTTATATAAAACTATTAAATTTATTTTGCTCTATATGAGCTTTGAATGAACTCGAACAAGTAATCACTATTCTTATAGCAATATGTAAGACAGTGTTTTTGTATAATTTATTCAGTGTTCTTATTAATGCAGAAATAAAAGGGGTAAAACAAACATATGAAATTGATAGAATACAGAAGGCAGAATTCAATAAAAATGATTTAATAAAGATCACATACATATATATATATATATATATATTTAAAAACTCGTAACTAAACCTAACATATAAGACAAGTCTAAAGTTTCTTTGTTACTCTCTTTATAATCTCTTTTCGGTGTTTCCCGCAAGCAAAAAATACCAGACAAAAAATAAATGCTATCTAAAATAATAACCGTAAATGTATGAGAGGGATTAGGTCAGCTGTTGTTTGGGTGCTTTATCTCTATGTAGCTAAGAGACATTTAAGAGCCGTGCCGATTTAAAACTTCAAAATAACGAAAAAAAAATGTTTATAAAAGTTACAAATAACATATATTAAATTTACAGTTACGATTTCACTCTAAACAGTTGGATAGAGAGAGAGAGAGAGAATAGCTATAAAGATAATCCTAGTTTAAAATTATAATATCTTATAAATTACACGATAATTGCGAGATATTCTGCAATTATGTTATAGGTCTTTAAAAAAAACAATCATTTTAAATATGAGGTTTACCATTTTCATCCCGTGAATAGAGATAGAATTATAGTGCAAGATAAACCCCTCTTATGGATATCTGCCAAATTGTTTTAGATAGTTTGACTTTGTTGCACGTCGTATTGCACATACTTAAGTAACCAAGAATAACTCGTTATCAGGTAGTATCCTCAGCACTGCTACCTTTTTCTCTCAACCTACATAGTTCTTGCCCGTTTTCTTTCAGCCTTATGTCTTTAAGGCAGAGTAAATCCCTCAAGTGATGTCCGAAGAATGAATACAATTTAAGAAAGAATCCATTTTCAGCCAGAAAAGGGAACGAAAGCTTAACACACGATATATAAATGCATACGACGTGAATATTTCCCCGTTTCATTCATCGAGATAATTAAAAAAAAAATTGCTAAAATAGAATGTCATAATTTAAACACGACGAAAATAAAGGCGGCTAGTGAGAAGTCTGAAACTATTCAAGAAGACTAAGATGGTTGCAATGCTACATCGACCGTCTTCTTCATGTTAAGCTTCAGATCGAACAACCAGTATCGTTATAGAGTTATATGTATAAGAAAATGGGTATGTGTTATTATTAATGAAAGACTGTAGTGACTCCTGCACATTGTGCACCATGTATAATTGTTTATTGCTTAATCTTAACATGATCGATGAGAAAGTCTTAATATCAAACTTCGGTTTTTAGCCCTTAACCACGTGGGTAATATCTTTTATACGCGAAATAAGTGTTATACCTATAAACTTCATATATTTGTTGGTAGATATATATGTATTTTAATATTTTGATAACAACAGTTAGTAGCCCCAGACCATTAGGCTAATTATTTTTAATTTTCAACTGTTTTCGACTTATCTGTATATGTGAACAGTGGATAAGCAAGACACACGAATGGAGAAAGGACCAAAACACTTGATGCTCAACAAATCAAATGCCCATATAGAAACATAGGACATATAACATATGGACCGCCCTGTATAATAAGATGAATTTTACTCCCCCTCCCCCCAAAGTTTTTAAATAAGGTGAAACATTTGGCTACAGCACACTAAGGGGTGGTCTAAAAATGACAAATTTATAAATTTCCGATTTTTTAACTTTTTTTTTGTAATACAGAAAGATAATGAGTATATTACACTGCTCAAACGCTCTAATGTTTTGTTCTTGATAGTAAACTCTTGAACACAGGTGAAACTTTTTACTTTGGAAGATGAACTTCGAGCGAAGTAAATCGTAGTTTAAAGTAAAGCGTTAGAGGATTTCCAAGCATCGCGGAAAGATGAGATAATGTAAACGAATCTCTGTTTGTTTCACGGCTGTGCAAGTAAACTACTGGGAGGTTATGATAATGTAAACGAATCTCTGTTTGTTTCACGGCTGTGCAAGTAAACTACTGGGAGGTTATGATAATGTAAACGAATCTCTGTTTGTTTCACGGCTGTGCAAGTAAACTACTGGGAGGTTAAGATAATGTAAACGAATCTCTGTTTGTTTCTCGGTTGTGCAAGTAAACTACCGAGAGGTTATAAGACACTCGGGAAACTGGTTGAAGTTTCCCGTTTATTGTTCTTAAGTGTGCATCAAACTTCCTGTGGAAATTAATTAAATGTAGCCACCCTGTTTCAAAGATAATTGGAGATGGGGAATACTGTGTTCCTATGGTAACATAGTATTTTCACGAGGTAAATAATTTTCGTACTCTCATCTATTACGAAGGCACTCTACGTGGGTCGTTTCTTTATAAGAGCAGTGCGTAACCTAGTGTGCCAATACGTTAGTCTGCACTCTACGTGGATCGTTTCTTTATAAGAGCAGTGCGTAACCTAGTGTGCCAATACGTTAGTCTGCACTCTACGTGGATCGTTTCTTTATAAGAGCAGTGCGTAACCTAGTGTGCCAATACGTTAGTCTGCACTCTACGTGGATCGTTTCTTTATAAGAGCAGTGCGTAACCTAGTGTGCCAATACGTTAGTCTGCACTCTACGTGGATCGTTTCTTTATAAGAGCAGTGCGTAACCTAGTGTGCCAATGCGTTAGTCTGCACTCTACATGGGTCGTTTCTTTATAAGATCAGTGCGTTACCTAGTGTGCCAATATGTTAGTCTGCACTCTACGTGGATCGTTTCTTTATAAGATCAGTGCGTTACCTAGTGTGCCAATACGTTAGTCTTAAACATAAGCTAGTTCAGGTGCCGGCAGAAAATTACTGACGAACTTTTTGTAGTTAGAGTAACAGCGTGTGTGTAAGTAGATGAGGAGACTCAGACTGGGAAAATAAAGAAAAGTTTCAAATTGAATACTATGTAAAAGACTTGTACATTAGACACAATAAAAACTTAAAACATAAATCCATACAAGTACCGGCATCATATTTTTTAGGAACGTTTTATAGAGTTCCTTATTTAAACAGAAACTATTTTAAGGAATCTTATTAAAAACGGAGTATGTTTCCATACCCCTAGGGAAATTATTCGTTTTCTGATGAAGATTCTTAAAAAAATCCATTAAAAAATGGAACTTGGTAAAATATTTTCCTGAAAATGTATTAAAGGTAATTATTTTTTTGTAGTGTTACGGAAACTTCGTGTTTTTCACAGTGCACACATACAACAACACAAATGCACATACAACATATGTTTTGATCTCTCCTTAGCAGTTGGTATCTATCGTATAACCAACTGTTCTTGACTGTTAGAACATACAAGAACTGTAAAATAAAAAATCCAGTAGACGTACAACGAACTATAATCGGAATTTGTTTTCTGGGAAACGTATTCAACCTATCAAACCTGTTATTTCCATTTGAGTGAAAAAAAAATTATTAAAACATTCTTTAACGTAAAGTATAGAACATTTCATCAAGATATATGTCTTATCATTACAGAAATTATCAAAGTGGTGTAGTTAAGCCTTTTTTGAATTCGCAATTCGTCTGTGACGTAAATCATCTTTTAACTTGCTGGATGTAGGGTTAGAAGCCTGTCTGCCAAAGATGCTAAATGAAAACCGCCAATCTAGTCGGCATAACCCATTACTGATAAGGTTCTTAGGAAAACGACTAGGTGGCGTCATATTCCCGAGCCGTGGGAAAGAAATAAAACAAGACAAATATATATATATATATATAAGTTTCAAAGGATATATAGTATGAAACTTCTCACGATACAAGCTTTCCAGAGCTTACCGCAAACGCCACTGTATACCTTATCCTATGTATACATATTTCGCTGATAAGGAAACTCTTAAATTATCGTTGCCAGTTAAACTGGGCTCAAAATTGAAGTAATATGTACTTATGTTTTGAGGTAAGGGGGGAGGAATGGAACAATCAGATATAATAGTAGATTACACTTTCTTAAAGTACTGATAATGGCAACTACTAACAACTATAAAATATAGATTACGTCAACATTATGCCAAAGCACTATAAAGTATATTCAGTATATACGAAGTCGTTAAATTTTATACTTCAAAGACGCATGGAAACCTAAACGAGAATTATTTTGAAATGCACTTAACCAAAATAACCATTAAACTGGTCTGCCTAATTGAATGTTTTGTGCGCTTAGCTACCCTTGATTTTCAACTATTGTCATTAATAGCTATTGGGGCACAGGTGATATAAAAGAAAACTAATATATTGTGACGTCACTCTAGCTATAAATATATATATATATATATATTATTGCATTTTAATTTAGCTTATTGCTATTATTAAATACTACAAGGCATTTATGCAATGTTTTATGTGTTAAATGCCTTATTTGGCCACTTCGTGACGTGTTGCTGTTGTGTCAAAACACACCCTGGCGATGCTCATTAAATCATTTTCTTCCCAACGATTGGTCATTTTAATAATTCAAAGATAGTGTCTGTATATGTGAGTGTGTGTGTGTGCGTCACGTTTGCTTAGTTGTTTATTCTCTCTTACATGTTCATAAATT